GCAAGGGGAGAGGTGGTGGAGTCATTAAGAGGTGGCATCTAGTGAAAATTAATTAGGACACTAGAAACATCATCCTTTGAAGGAATGAAAATCCTGGTTTCACATAGCATGTTAGTTCTCTTAAGAAAGAATTGTTATATAAAAGAAAGGCTGGCTTCTACTTGGTATTTGCCTTCCTATCTTGTTATTTGGTCTTTCCCTCTTGCATATACTGCTACCATAGTTTTGGAGAAAACTTCAGAAGCTGGAAGGTCTCTGACTTTCTCCTCCCTTTGCAGAATGTACATTATTATATTGCATTCAAAGAAACTTGCACTAGAACCAAAACAGATGGACCTTCCTAGTCTTGGATTTTAAGCCTTCAAAAGTACACAGGCTCAGGTATTTTGTTTTAGCAACAGCAAATGAGCTAATACACCACCTTGTACTAGGAGAAAAGGAATATTCTTATCTCTGATGACACAGTGACAGAAAAAAAAATCTGAGCAAGTATGTCTCACTATGTTCCCCCCTTTTTATTCCTATTAGGTCATACCTCCTCTGTCTAAACATCATTCTCCATAACTATCCACTTCTTTATCAAACTTTGGATAAAAATGTATAGACTTTCCTGTTTCTTTGGGACTTTTTCCCTGAAGGCTCTTGAATCATAAAACTTAGTAAATGCACTTGTATGGTAATATATCTTTGTCAGTTTTATTTTCAGATTGAGCTAGAGACCCTAAAATGGCTAAGAGAAAAATATTTTCCTCCCTATACAATTAAATTATCAAAAACAATATGATGGACGGGGAAGGAACTATCTAGAAAGTGGATCTAAGTGGGATCATGAAGGGTTTGTCCTTGTGTGTATGGCTTATTTCATTTAGTACAATGTTCACCAGGTCCATTTATGTTTTATCGAATGCCAGGATTTCCTGCTCTTTTTAAAAGTCTGAGTAATATGCCATTATAGGTGTATATCACATTTTTCTTCCCAGTCATATGTCTGGATGGCTCTATATCAATTGTGAATAATGCTGCAAGGAACATGGGAGTGCAGATATCTTTCCAAGAGCCTTATTTTAATTCTTTTTGATATATACCCATAACTATGATTGTTGGATCAGATGAAACTTCCACTTTTTATTTATTCTTTGGGGAAACCCATTATGTTTTCCTTGCAATAACAATTTATATTCCTTGCACATAGTGTACATGGGTTCTGTTTTCTCTGCATACTTGCCAACACTTGTCATCCTTATATTTTTTTTCTAAATAGCCATCCAAACAGATGGGAGATGACCTTTCACTGTGGTTTTGGTTTGCATTTTCCTGATGATTGGCTATATTGAGTACCTTTTTATATCCCTCTTGGCAATATGTATGTCATCTTTGGAGAAATAACTATTTGGGTCCTTTGCTGATTTTTGAACTGGTTAATATTTTTCTGAAGTAAAAGGATTTTGAATTTTAAATAAAAATCCCTTATAAGAGATAATGTTTGTAAATTTTTTTTTTTTGCAATTTTATGTTCCTTTTTATTTTGTCGATTGATTATGGAGACAAAAAGAATACATATTTTACAATTATAATTACATAAAATTCTAGAAAATCTGAACTAATCTATAGTGACAGAAAACAGATCAGCAGTTTCCTGGGTCAAAGGAGGACAATGGAAGGGAAGAAGGAATTATAAAAGGGCTTAAGGAAACTCTCAGAAGCAGTATTATATTCAGTAACTTGATTGTGGTCATGATTTTAAAAATGTACCAAACCTTTTAAAAACTTTAAAAAATGTGTTGAAACTTTAAAAAGTTGCACATTTTATGCATCTGCTTTAATTGTATATTCTTACTTTCTGTATTCTTGATGGCTTGGCATCTGAGTCCTTGCTGACTAGAGAGAGACTACTTCTCCCAAGGCAAGGCAAGTCTTAGAAATAGCAAAAGACTTGCCTGAGAGCACCCTTTTCATAAGCAAATTAACGCGAGTCCAAAGCCCAAGCTCCAACTTCCTCCTCTATCTGACACTTAGACTACAGGATGCCATATTCCACTTCCCAAATCCCCAAGGACCAGGTATTAGGTAAATCAGTAATGGCCACTATGCCCCAGCACCTACTGAAATTATCCACGCTAGCCAGTCACCAGTCGGTTCCTCTTTGGCCTGCCTTGCTTGTTTCAGGGAAACCATAATAAAGGTCCCTGCATGCCTTCCCCCTGTTCCTTCGCCTCCTCCCTGACCTGGACAGCTTTCCCATGGGACTTGGCATGGCTTGGCATGCCCTTCCTCTTGGGAACTGCAGGTAACAGTCTTTTTGATGGCAATCCTCTGATCTGTTGGCCTCACTATGCCTGAATAAACAAAAGCCCAGATACGTTTTAAGGGTAGCAGCATTTAGTATGTGTAAGTTATACCTCAATAGAGTTATAAAAAGAAAAACAAACATTGTGGTTAAAATATTGGAGACAAAAGCATCTTTTAGAAAATATACAATTTTTTCCCGTTTTCATCTTCCCTTGGAGAGAATTTTAATCTCTTCTATAGGCTTTAGAGTATCCAATGTTATTACTACAGTGAAGGGAAAATCCTTTAGCTTTGATTCCAGTGTGTAAGTGGCTTGTCACTTACGACTGATGAGCATTTGAAATGTGGTATTTTAACTGAGTAACTGCATTGTTAGTTGAAATCCTTTCCACCAGTTTTAATTCTTTTTGATATATACCCATAACTATGATTGTTGGATCAGATGAAACTTCCACTTTTTATTTATTCTTTGGGGAAACCCATTATGTTTTCCTTGCAATAACAATTTATATTCCATATGGCCAGTGACTGCTATGTTGGGCAGTGTAGCTCTAGAGGCTGTTCATTTAGTCTCTAGGGCAGACATTCTTCTCCTCTAGTAGGTAGAAGAAGACAACTATTTGATGTGATAAAAAGTTGTATCTGGGTTTTTAGTTTTCATGGTTCCTTTTTGGTTTACTTTTATTTGTGGAGCATAGATCCTCATAGGTCTCATCTGAATAGTTGCTGGGACTGAACTCCATTTTTGTCTCAGCTGTCCATGGTCCCATGATAAGAATGAAACCACATAGCTACCTTGACATTTTTTGCCTTTGTTATTGTTGTTCCTTACAAGTTTCAAGGGGCTCACTTCTCTAAATCCCCTGGCCCCTTGATCTTTCCCCTTCAAGTTCAGGCTGTCATCGTTGTTCTCTGGTAATTTCCAAGAGCTGGTTTTTGTAGCTTTATTCTCAGCATGTAGAATAATTTGTACAAGCTCCATTATCCAGAAATGGAAATCGTCATGGGATCTCTATTGTAAAATAATACCTGTAAAGTTCCTCTTCCAGTGACAGTAAGTGTTCCCTCTTCTCTTTCTGTAATGCAGAACTAGTCCTAGATCCTGAAGCACTGGTAAAATTTGATTTCTCTAAGCTTAAGAAATCCAAATAGTAAAATTCACACTCTGACTTCTCAGGGCCCTTTCTCAGGGCCCTTTGTAGACAACTCACTGGAGTTTCTAGTTTAGCATAGCTCCTCTCAAGCTTCTCCCCTTGCTTAGGATCTCTTTTAAGCTTCCTTTTCTCTCTTCAAAATGCAGCAGTAGTTGTCCTATATTGTCAATGCTAATTCCTTCGCACTATCTAAAAGCTTAGTGCATCCTTCCATTACAGCAGAATTAGCCATTAAGTCTCTTCCTGTCATGAGCACTAGTCTCTTTTTGCTTCTTTATTTTCCATGCTTTGTCTGAAGTAACTGTCTGAAACTTAGGCCTTGTGATGTTGCTTCACTCCTTCAAACCCCTCAGTGATCCCCCATTACTTACAGGGGAAAACCCCAAACTCCTTGACATGAAACAAAGGTCCTTCATGTTTTGGTCACAGCCTCTTACTCTGGCTGCATTTTATTTCCACATACACCCAAAGGTCAAGTTTTTTCCAAAACTGTTTCAAGGAAATGGACTTTTAAATATTTTTTTTCCCAGAAAACATCATAACTTTTATGTTCTTCCATTTTAATCATGTTCTACTTTGTTCCTCAAATGTCTTTTTCTTTCCTTCCTCCTTTCTCAGAAGGAAGTCCACTCAGCCTTGGAGGGCCACTGAAGCATCACAAGTGTTGAGAGACCTTTATTCTGATGTTTCCTCCTGAGGGCTATTAACTCTAGAGGTTGTGCCATTTGCTTATTCATCTTGTACCATTTTCTTATTTCCCCTTAGCACCGTGCTTGACAAGTAGTAATTGCTTTATGAGTATTTGTTTTTTATAACTGAACTGCAACGAATACCGGGGCTTAGCCCGGGCCTCAGCTGATGCTTTAAACAGAAAACTAAGTGTTTTAAACCCTGCATGTAAGTCCCAGGGGAAGTTATGTTGGTCAGGTGGGTCTTTTAGTGCTTGTAAGCTCCGTGCATGTAGGTGGCTGTCAGCTTCCCCTTACATCTTGGGCTAATCCTGGATATCATAAAGGATATTGTCATTTTAAAGCACAACCAAGCTTTTTAAAAAATAATCCTTTCAAAGGGACTAGGTTACTTTTTTTAACAGTTACATATGGGGAAAGGCTATATGAAAATATTAATATCTTTTAATTCAATCCAGAAGTTACATCTATATCTTAAAATTTATTTCTGAATTGTCATCAGAGTATATTATAGAGTGGTTCCAAGATTCCTTAATAAGGTAGCTGTTGCTTAGCTGGGGGGTGAATTTAATTTAGCAATTGAGGTCAGAGGTATTTGTGCTGCTTTTTAGATTAAGGTTATTTTCCAGCTTTTGCTCTGAAGATCTAAACTGGAGCATAACTTTGAATGCAAAACAGGCATCTGCTTTTGCCTGAAGCAGTGGAAAAATGAGGTCTTAGAACGCTTCATATAAAGTTTCTTAAATGTACACTGTGCTATAAAATTGATGAAGAAACACCAAAGAAGGAATGTAACATAAGTGAAAACACTTTTAGGGAACACCCAAGGACACCTAAGTAATGTTGGAATGGAAAAAAACAGAGTAAATGCAGTTGTGCCTGGAAGATTTATAGGAACAAAGTGGGATATTTCATATCTCTTTGAAAAGGCTAATGATGTGCAGGTTGGCGTTGCTGTCTGCAGTTGGAACAGGAGCCGTGTTTGCACTGTAGGAGTAGATGCCAGGATGTGAACAGAACCAGGGTTTAGTTATGGAAATTGTAGGGGGGTGTAATTCCCGGAGAAAATCCACCAAGAAGAACTGCTTGGCTGGCACCACACCAGAAGGTGAATGAGGCAGGGCCTGCTGGGGGAAAGAGCAGAGAGATCTCTCAGGTATGGGCAAAGTGATTGTAGTAATGTTCTCCTCCCAACACCTAAAACTGGGGAAAGCACTGACAGTTTTTCTAGTCGATACCTTACTCCACAAAGACAATCTCAGAAAGAAAGCTGTTTTTGCTCAGCCTATACCAGAACACATCATAACTTTTATGTTCTTTCAATTTTATCATGTTTCACTTAAGCAGAGAAGAGCTGAGGCTGGGATGCCCCTTCATTCCCCCAATACAGTACCCTGGTCACCTGGGGGCAGAATGCAGTGGGGGCCTACCTTGGTAACAAGTGGGAAATCAGACAGATAGATAAAGTCTGGATTTCCCCAACTAAATAGAACAAAAGAGGGCATCGGGTGTAATAAATAGGAAAGGCTTTGTATATTGCTGAAACAGTGGCATTTGAGCATCAAAACACAGCTACCGATCAGCAAATGTCTACTACCAAGGTGAAAAGACAGGCTGCAGAAAATCCTAACTGAAACAGAACCTCCTGAAAAGATTTTCAAACAATTGGAGTCTAACCATACACTGCAAAATTACAAAAACTCTCCAAGGGAATCTAGAAGCTCTGTTTCCCACCTCCCATTGAGGCTGTTGCTGGTGGTGTTTTACACGATTTCTAAATTCATTCAAGGATGATGGAATGCATGTTACTTTTAGTTGAGACATGTTGCATGAAAAAAAAAAACATTAAAAATACTTTCATATACAGGATCATGTTGTTTTCTCACAATATTCTCACAATACTGCTCAAATGATGCTAAACATCATCAAAAACATAGCACTTTGCACTTCACAGTTTGAACTTGACACTGAAAAGCCAGGCACTGACCACTATCTCTTTCTGTCTCTTTGAGTCTCTTTTCTCTGAGATTCAGACTTTAAATATCTAATAAAGTGGCAACATTGCCCCAATTTTCAATTTTAGAAAGAGGTCACATTTCACTATTTATGAATGATGTCTTTTATCTTAGATACTCTAGCCAGTGTACTACATTCTATCTGTCAATACTGAGTAACTATATGATGATTAATGCTTTAAGATTCTGCCCCACTGAGAACTTGTACAGCTTTGGAAGAAAATCTTTATAAAACTGGTTCCTGGCCTGTGCTTTGAGTTTGTAATAGATATTTTTTTTTCAAATCTATCATATTTCCCTGACTTGTCTCCATATGTTATTTGATATTTAAAATGTGTTTTAGATGACAAAAACTGTTAGAGCCCTTATCTGAGTCAATATTGATAGTTGTTGGATTAAAAGAATTCTCATGGAAAATGGATCATCTTTTAACACAAACCAGCACAGAGGAAAAATAAGTCACCAAGCATTTAAACCCCACCCCTAGGCAAAGTTATCCCATCAAATAATTTATTTATTCTTTCAACAACTAATATGACTTACATTTATTTAATCATTTTAAAATTATTATATGAAGAAGTAGATATTAACAAACATAAAGATACCTCTAAACTTCTCTACACCCTTATGACAGCAGACTTGAAGAGATGTTTAACTTAATACAAACATTCCATACTTATTAAATAAAAAGCAACATGAAATAACAGTCTATATATAGCATGATTTTCATTCATTCATTGTGCAGAGCTGGCCTGAGGCTTGTTTAAAAAAGTACCAGATAGTTTTTTTTCTTTTCTTATTTTTTTTTTTGAGAAATATATTTCTGTGGTGACAGATGCTCTTTTAAATTACAAAGTATGTAATAGCAGAGTTTGCCATTTGAAATCAGAAAATTCAATTTTTCCCAAGTCTCATCCAAAAGACAAAGCTCACCGCGAGGTTCTTTAACATTATCACATTACAGGCCTGCCACTTTGGATTCTGTAGCTCTGCCAGGAGGACTGATTAATTCTAAATGGCAAAGGGTCCAATTTAAGAACCATTTTCTTGTTTTCATTGGAGTGTTGGGTGGTATTAATACAAGTTACTGATCTATGCCATAGTGTAAGGACCATATCAAGTTTTTAATTTTTTCCTTATAAATAAGGATAACACTCAGGTGAATGTGACAACAGTTTCACACTTTTTCATAAAGAAAAGTTAACATTTATAAGAGGAACAGTAGTTATTGCTCTATGGAAGTAGTTATTGTGCTCCTGAGAGGATATCATCGATTGTGGCTTTATAAAGGTGGATAAATACTGCCATACAATTATAAAATATATTCTATTGGTTGGCAAGACTACAAAACAATTTATATGCTGTATTGTTGACAAATCTCTGTGAGAAGTAGCATTCTTGTACTTTGTTCAGAAGAACAATTTGATAGTAAAGCAATAAAAATAGCTGCTTTTTTTTTTTTTAAACCAGAGATTGAAGCCAGGGGCACTTAACCACTGAGCCACATCCAAGCCCTTTTTATTTTTTATTTTGAGACAGGATCAGAACATTGCGAAGTTGCTGAGGCTGGCCTTGAACTTTCCATCCTTCTGTCTCACCACTGGAGACAGGTGTGCACCACAATGCCTGGCTAAAAACAGCTTTGAGGCAGCCATGCTACTTCTAGGGAGTTTATCATGTCAATATAGTTGCAAAGACATGAAGACCTCAACATTTATTGCAGTACTATTGTAATAGAATAAGCAATTTATATATTTAACTAATATGGCACTGGTAGAAGGTCTAATTTAAGAACATTATCATGGTTCCACTAGGTGGTATTAACATAAGTTAATTGATCTTATAATGATTTATCCAAACAACAAAACACCACCTAGCAGAAAAATTACATAACAATTTAAATGCTATACTATCATTTGGGTAAAAATAGGAATATATATTATATTATATATATAATATAATACACACACACACACACACACACACACACACACATATATATATATATATATATATATATATATATATATATATCTCCACATTCATGTAAAGTCACTTATGTTCTTTTCTATGCAATATATCTATGAAGTATTTCAGGAACAGTGCATAGGAAACTGAAGACAAAAATGGAAAAATAATATATATTTCATTGAATTTATTATTATTTTGTACTGCCACAAACTTCTATGTCCATATATTATTTACATATATATGTATATATATACACATATATATGTGTGTGTATATATATATATATATATATATACACACACACACACACACACACATATATATATATATTAGAAGATCATGTTAGAATAAGTCCAATCTTTTTGTCATAAATTATGTATTACTAAGGATAAAATCTCCCAATAAGTCAACTGGACAAAAATTAAGGTTTTGGCCATCCTCCCTATGTGGGAGATCATGGAGTAATAATCTCCATGCCCCACTTCTAGATCCAGGAGATCAATAATAATAGCAATGGAGTTTGGCAGAAATGCATTGAACCTGTCATATATTATCTGCCAAGCACCTTTCTTTTCTTATATTTTTTTTTCCTCTGGGAATTCCTCTTACCTCCATGCATGCCCAGTAGGAGTTGGGGGTTGTTACCTGACTACATCTTTTTGGCCAAGGTTCCCAGACAGAAGAGTAGACAGACCCACCAGGTCCTTCCCTGGAACTTTATTATCAGGTTAACATGGAATTAACACAAATGCACACAAGCACACATACATACATACACACACATACAGTCGTACACAGTGAAGGACAATTTCAAATTAGAAATAAGATTGTTTTGGAAATTATTCACTTGAGAGAGAGAGAGAGAGAAAGAGAGAGAGAGTGAGTGTGTGTGTGTGTGTGTGTGTGTGTGTGTGTGTGACACACACCATGAACAGCACAAGATGCCTGAAGTCTGAGAATTTTATTTAGTAAGGAAATCGCTCAACATTTCTGTGAATTTTTATTTCAATTTTCTCAATTTCTTTGAAATAATTTTGCCTTTAAAGATTTCAGGAATGCCATGCCAAAATGAAAAATATTGCTGTAATTACATTGGCATAAATACCAAAATGGAAAATCAAAAAAAAAAGTGTGGGTAATGTTACATATTTGCTTTTTCTTTTTATTAACAGAAATATGTTTTGTATTATACTGTGATCTCTTCCTGGCAAAGCTCTGAGAACTCACTGATTCCTATTTGACAGTTTATTATATGTTTTCACATTGCATCCAATACAATTGCACCCATCACAAAATTTTGGGTACCTATAAAATGTGATATATCCAAAACGTTTTTTATGGAGTAAGACTGCTGATATTTCCATCTACAAGAACTTTCTTTCATCCAGAGACATTTTCAGCTGAGCATTGGACATGTTCTAACTTAGCATTTTTTAAACAATACCATTAAAGTAAAAACGGCATGAAAACACCGTGAGTACCAATAGCAGGGGACAGGTTTAAGGGAGAGGGGAGGTTGAGTAGGTTTTGAATGTCTTTCTGAAGAAGAGAGCAGACCTAGAAATTCTGGTAGGATCTGAGTGCATGTGAAGGGTGAGTTCAAAATGGATGATGATCAAAGGGGTTCCCATGACTTGGCCAACTCAGAGATGTCTGGAGGGCCAGTGAGCAGACAGACCAACAGACTGGACGGATGTTCTCAGCTGCAAAGTCATGAGACATACTTTTGGAACTATGTTTGGACCAAATTGTAAGAAGCCATAAATGACATGATAATCCAGTGAGTATTTAAAAGAAATCTGAGGGCTCAGTGGAAATGAACTAGAGAGAAAGCTATTTTATATAATCTAGTCCAAGGTATGACATGGACATAAAAATGGTGATAATGGCATAAATTCGATATCAATCAGTTATTGTAATAGTAACAATTAATAAAATTTATCCAGTACATACTCTGTGTGGGAACACGTCTGTGTGTTTCAGAGCAAAATATATTATTTCATTTAATTTTTCATAATCATAAGGAGTTCTTATTCATAATATTGTTTCATAAACCATTATTTCAGAATAACCATAAGAAAAAGTTCTACCCCAATATGCATGTTAGTTTCAAAGAATTTATGCAACTTGTCCAGGGTACC